AGAGAGAGAGAGAGAGATTAGTACCACACAGCCTAGATGTGTTGGAGGCAATACCATCTAGGTTTGAGTAAGTACCTCTATGATGCTCATGCAACAACAAAATCGCCTAATGATGCGTTTCTCATAAGGTATCCCCATTGTTAAGGGACATGTGACTGTGCTATGATGCAGAGTTAGGTGTCAGAGTGTGAATTCTCACAGCAGGGTTTTCCAGTTCTCATCCTACAGTGCTTGATCAGACTGAGTAACTTACTAACATAATAATCAACTTTCATTTAATGATCGCAAATGCTTTGACTACCAAATACATCCAATTTGGTATAGTATATTTTTCCATTTTTCACATTCAAATTGAAGCATATTAAATGAAAACTACTCTAAGATATAAGGTCCCCCTGGATCAGACTGGCAGAGGCCCAAACACTTGGTAGCACCTTCTGCCGGTGAGGCTGTGAAGGGTGCTGATGGCATGCAAACTGGGGACCACATCCACAGAGGGGAATTCGGAAACACTATCAAAACGACACTGACCTGTGGACCCAGTGATCCCACTTCTAGAAACAGGGCCTGAAGATGGCCCTCATCAGATACAAACAGCACCTGCCCACAGTCAGTCACTGCGGCCACATCCATCAACGAGGATGGGTGCTCAGATGTGTCGGGTAAAAAGGCAGCCAACACAGCGTGAATAGTGCTTGCTACCTTTTATGAGACAGAAGGGAAAACAAGGGGAGTTACAAATATGTCTCTATGTGTGTGCTTTTTTTTGCAGGATAAAGCAGAAATAAAAATGGTTGCCTCTAAAAAGTGGAGGAGATAGGGATGGAAGTGAGATTTCTAATCAAATCTTTTATGTAATTTTGACTTTTGAGCCATGTAATAATTTTGTACATAAAAAGAAAATAAAAAAAGAAAATTCCAAATCTGAAACAAATAAACCTAATTGTATACTGATTGGGCAATATAACTGCAGATAAAAGAATATTCCTCAAGGGGCTTTATAACACAGTACTTTAACTTCATCCTAAGCAGAATATACACTAAGGACAAAAAGAACTTAAAAACACCTTAAACTTTGCTAAGTAGTTTCATCAGTAGTAGTAGTAACATAATATAGTAATTTTACAGTCCATTTTATGTACATTTTAGCATAAAATAAATATGCCAATGACACTAAGAATCAAGATTTTCAGGATAAGAAAAAGATACAAATTTTAAAAAATCAAAGAAAGTAAGTAAAACCACATAATTTTAAATTTGTACTGAAAATAATCAGCGCGAACTGAAGATGTTTTAAGAATTTATTTCTTAGCTCTGCCCACCAGACAGGTGCTTACAGCAGCAATAACATATGAACACAATGAACACATCTAATTCCGAGACTTCAGTTTCTACCTTTCTGCACTAAAAGGAACCAAAGCACTGTGGAGGAATGGCTGAGGGCAGGCCTGGGAGAGAAAGGGGAAAGTGCCAGAAAGGAAGTGCTTCCAGGACGATGCTGCCTGAGAAGGACCAGGAGCCACCCTTGTGGGGAGCCCAAGTGGTCATAGTTATAACAATGTGAACATCAAAAAACAATAACAAAACACTTTAATAGATTACAATATAATGAATAAATGAAAATCCATTAGTCTGCACATTCAAAAAGGAAAAATAGAAACATTTGCCACAACTCAGGTGAATATTACAACCCACGGCTTCCCCTGAAAAGTGGTAATAAAGGGAGAGAATTCAGCATTTGTCCTGTCTTCTTAGGACATAATGGATGAGGGAAACATAGATAAAACAAAGAAAGAAAGAAAACAGCATTAGAAAGTCGGCTTCAGTCCCAGTAGGACAGCCTCTGAGGACCGTGCACTAAGCAGCACACGTCACCACCTGCATGAAAACATGCGCCTGAATCCATCAGCCTCTTCATGTGAGATCACAGGGCGTATATAGGGAGCAGAGGAACATGCTAAATGACACAGCACGAAAACAGCAAACAAGTCCAGAACATGGGATGTTTGCAAGACAACTGGCCTGGTGTCTTCAAAAAGTCAATGTCATGGGAAAAAACTGAGGCAGGCAAGTGGGGTACGGTGCAGAGTATTCCAGAATAACGGAGACTAAAGACATAACCACTAATGCAATGAGCTAGACTAGACTGGTTTGGGAAAAGCAGCTACTAAAGTCAACTGGGGGACAATTGGGGGATGTGACTGTGGATTTGGCCCCTCGATGACACAGATTATTGTTACGTTTCTTAGACGTTATCGATGACAGTATTGTTGGTTATAGAGAAGAATCCCCTTTTGCCTTTTCTTCAGAGAAAAGAGCACTTAGAGGTGATGTGCTGTGAAATCTGCAATTTCCTTTGAAAAAGTGTGGCAAGCCCCAGATAGGTGCAAGGTGGCAATCACAGCTGTGACAAGTGCTCCATCCTGGGGCAGGCACAGAGGGGCCATGACCGTGCTTTCAACTCTCTGGTCAGTTAGGAACTTCACAATACAACCTTGAAAACCCTGAAGCATATTTGTTTCCAACTCAAAGTACACATGCTCTCAGTTAGCTGTCAAGTGACCCAGGGGATCAGAGAGCGGCAGCTGACACTCTTGCCTGGTTCACACTTGGGGATGACGGTCTTCCCCAAGGCTATAAATTAAGAAGTGGTCTACAGCTGAGAGTAACTTGAACGTATTCTGAGGATACATAACCACAACACATTCTAGGGGTGGCAACAGCATCAACTCCTCAAAGCCAGAAATTCCAGCGACAGCTACTGTGCTTGTGCAAAGAAACACTATAATCAAGTCCTGGCTAAAGTGAGATGGAGAACCCAAAGCTAAAAGCTAGAGACGGCTGCTAAGGGTTAAACTTCCAAAGCCCAGAACCAGCGCTGTTTCCATGCAATGTGGTCAGACGCCGTGATAAGGCTACCTTGGAAACAAAGCACATTCCAAAGCGAGCAAACAGCACAGTAAGGTCAGCTGGTCCCTGTTCTGTCCCTGAAATGTTCTGGGTCACAGACCAGGGCTATTTGGGTTGTTCTGCTCACTTTTCTGTGGGTCCCCCTTACCCAACACCAGTACTCTCGCCGCCTACCTTTTCTCCTGGGGTACAGGGCAATCCCACCCGTGACAAGTCTGAAATGGCTGCTGTGGCTGGAAGCTGCTGGAAGAGTCTTTAAAGCATCCTTTTCCTTATAGGATGTGGAACATGGCCTCTGTGACAGAGCAACTGGAACTCTCCCTGAACAGCACACAGCTCCCAGTGCTGCTCCCTCCACAGCAAGCAGACCACAGGTGAGGCTCAGTCGGTGGTGCCCTCAGATGAAAACTCAGCTCCTCACCATTTATATCTGCGGGGGGGGGGGGGGGGGGCGGCGAAGTAGGAAAGAGCGAGTGCAGGGCCACAAGGCCAAGGGACTGGGACCTCCCCAGCCAGATCAAGGACACACAGAGAGTGTCCAGTGGGCCATCGGGGGACACCCGAACCCCACCCGACCCCCAGGCCAGTGTCAGCTCTTTCTACGGTCTGCAGACTTTGCTGGAAAACAGCTGGGACACAAATGCTGAAAGGCCTTCACCCGAATGAGAGGGAAACCAAGCAGAGAAGACACCTTATCAGGAGCATGAGGAGCTAAGGAGGGGCTCTACCGACAGGACACAGGCTCCAGCAGAGGGACCAGCCTCTCCACCACACTGGTGCTTCTCACTCGGGGCCTCCACCCTGTCACCCCCAGACCATCCAGGGCTGGACTCAACGTTCTCTCCCTCTAGAAGAAGAGGTATTCCCAGAGCACACTTCTCACACAGGAACTGCCCATCATGTCTGCCCGTGCCTGCCTGTATCTTTTCCTTGGAGCATTTATTGGGCCTTTTTCGCTGGCTGACATTCATTCCCACCACCACTACGTAGGTCCTCTGAGGAAATCCAGGGCAAGGCCTTCTTTTAAAAACCACCATTGCCCCCAGCAGGTAGAATAGTGCCTCGCGCAGAGAAGAGAGGTGAGAATACCTCATGGAGAGTCAAGCATCTGTCTCTCCTGCTCCCCTCTGCCTCAGAAAAAGGGGGCATGAGAAGAAAAGATTTTATTTCTAGCAATGCCTTGCAGAATTGGAACTACTGAAAGTACACAGCAAATAAATAGCAAGGAAGTGATCTGAGATATTCTAGAATGAAGGAAAATCCAGGTAACGAAAAGCGGGGTGAGGTAGAAGGGCAGGAAACACAGAGATGCATAAAGGGCCAAGGCCCTGGAAGTGTGCGGGACTGAAATCTGCTGCAATCCAGACACTTCAGAGGCCAGAACTGAGGCTGCGGGACGGTAAGGGCCAGAGGCACACTCTGACTTTTCACGCAGCTGAGTTCAGTAAAACACAAAATGTGAACATGAACAATAGATTCCTATAGCCTACGTCCTCTAGTCCTGAGATTTAAATAGAAATTTAAAAATCAAATTGTAATTAGAACAACGACAGTCTCTTGACCCTATGAAACTGCATGTTTTGTGCAGAGAAGCTCAGCAGGAAACAGAACGCCAGTGACGGAGAGTCGGATGGGCCTCAAACCCACTATCAGAGGCTCCTTGCCCCGCACCAGCTGCTATGCCCAACGGTCACTCACCTGCTTCCCTCCCCTGAGAGGCAATCATCAATCATCATACCAAACGAGGAGAAAAGAGACAAGAGTTCAGAGACTGAAGGAGCTGAAGCCAGCAAAGAAAAAACCCAAATACCAAGTGAAGAGAAGGACTGCACTGACCATGATCACCACTCTTCGTGCTGCAACAGCTCCGTCTCCCAGCTCCGGTCACTCTCCAAATTCTACGCCGGACAGGGATCTGAAATACAGACACACACGTCTCCTTCACTAAATAAATACTGCCTGTCAGCTCCTTTGCACAGACACAGAATTCAATCAACGATCCTACTAATTTACTTAAAACCTTTCTCCAAGGTGTTAGGAACATTCTTTGCACAGCTTGAGTTACTTACAAACCTCTTCATGTGGATGCGATGGCGTGAAAGAACAGAGTTTTCACATCCAAAGACTTCAGGAATTAACCAGAACAAACAGTGAGTGTGTGGGAGGGGAGCACTGTCAAGTAATCACATGTCAAGTGGACTACAAGTCTGAGTTTTCTTCCAATAAAAGGACTGTGTCCTTTGAAACTTTTGAAGATTCACAGAATATCTCTTAACGTGTGCTGGATCTTTTCCAGAGAAAATGTAACTTATGACAGCCAGATATAATCTGTTTAAGGATTACAGGAAGTACACATCCCTGCATGGACAGCCCACGGGAAACCCTCAGAGTATGGAGTCCAGCGCCTGTAAGCTGTTTCCTCTCACAAGATAACTCTGTTTAGTAATAGAAATTAATTCCTAATTGAAAGTTGGCTTATTCATAACACTTTTTAAAAAACTCCAACTAAACCCTTCCTAGTCCCCTAATTTTATCACCATGATATAGAGAAAACATGAAAAACTAGTATTCCAATATAAAAAGTCAGGAGGATGCCCTTGCTTTAGGAACCTGGCCTCATGAAAGTCTGAAGTGGATTTCTAAAACTATGCACTTGATCTCATCAGAGAGAACTTCAAAATAACTTCCCCTTTTTACACACACACACACACACACACACACACACACACACACACACACACACACGAGCATGCCGAGGGAGGCCTCTCCTGCCGGCTCACCTGGGCGGGCACCTGTGTCAAAGTCGCCCAAAACACCGAGAGAGGACCAGGAGAGCCGACAGGGCCCGCAACCCTCTTAAGCAACGGAGGTGGTGTGGGTCACGGAAACAGGACAAAAGACACACAAATGACTCCAAGTTTACTTGGGTCTAGGAAAATAGCAGCTGGAAAAATACTCGAAATTATGCTGTGTAGTGAGTCGTATCTTTATTAATTAAATTGGAATGGTCACACCCAAACACACACAGTAACTAAAAAGCTTGGAAAGCACGTAGTAACACTGAACCCGTCTCATCCGCTCCCTAAGACACATTTAAACAGGCCCTCGGCTGTCTCTTCCTGGATATGCCGCTGAAAACCAAGCACAGCTAGAGGAAACCCCAACGACACAGTTTGCAAGGCAGCTCGCTGTGCTGGCGGAGGGGCACCTGCCCCGGCTCCGGGCTGCCCGCGCCTGCCAGCGACCCCCGCGGACCCCTCCTCGGGGACGACCGCCGTGGCCTCGGCCCGGCCCGGACCCCGGGCCACGCTCGCGTGCGCGCACAGACGCACGCGCGGCCAGCGCGCACTCACACCGGCGGCCACACTCCCGCTCGCCAAGCCGCTCCGGCCGGCACCACGGCCCGCGGGGCCGCACCAACTTTTTACCACTTTAGGTGTTTCCTCCACAAAATCCTACCGCCCGGACAACGCGCCTCGGGGGCGACCGTCCGGCCGGGCCCCGGGCGCCAGCTGTCAGCGGGGTCGGGGGCCGGGGGCGCGGGGTCCGCCGTGGCCGCGCGGGGTCTAGGCCACGGAGGCCGCGCCCGGCCCCCGGCCCCCGACCCGGTAAGGGCAGTACCGCGGGCCCCGGCTCGGCCCCTCGGCCCCGACCCCGGCCTGACCCTCATTCCCCAACCCCTTCCCCGGCCCGGCGCTCCGACCCCGGCCCCTCGACGCCGACCCCGACCCCGACCGGAACCCCCAGCCCGGCCCCCGGCCCCGGCCCGGCCCGGGCCCGACGGCGCGCCAGGACGGCCGGGCCCGGGGCGCGAGCTCGCGGCTGAGGCAGAGCCGGCTCGGCCGCCGCCGCGTACTCACCGCGGGCGCCGGGCTCGGGGCGGCGCGGCTCCCGCCCGGCTGCGGACGACGGACGGCGCGGGCGGACGCGCTCCCATTCATTAGCCGCGGCTTTGTCTGCCCCCGCCGCCCCTCCCGCCGCCGCTGCCGCCGCCGCCGCCGCCGCCGCCGCCCGCAGCCCGCCTGCCCGCGACGCCGCCGGACGCTGCGCCCCTCCCAGGGCCCCGCGCGGCGCGGGGCGGGGCTGGGGGCGGGGCCGGCGTGCGCAAGCGCAGAGTCCGCACGCCCGCCCCGCCCCAGGGCCCGGCCTGGCGGGCAGCAGGAGGCGCCGCGGCGCTCCCGTCAGGGTGGGCCCGGGACGACCACGCAGGCGCAGTTCCCGCCCCCGCGCTGGGGGGAGGAGGGGCCGGACCAATCACGCAGGCGCAATCCCAGCCCCCGTGCTGGGCGGACCGACCACTCAGGTGCAGAGTCTGTGCGCCGGCCCCGCCCCCGTGCTGGGCAGAGCCGACCACGCAGGCGCAGTCCCCGCTCGCCAGCCCCGCCCGCGGGTCCGACCCAGGGGGCGGCAGGGTCCGGACGCGCTGGCTGGGCGGGGCCGGCCGTGGCGGTGTCTCTGGCGGCTGTGCAGTTGGCGGTGGCCGGCTGCGAGTTTCCGGGCGGCCGCGCACGTGCCTGGGCGCAGAGGGCGGCTGCGCCGCCGATGGGCCCTCGGCTCGGCCGGCAGGTGTGCGCAGGTGCCGGCAGGTGCGCCGAGCGGGGCCCGATTGCGCGTTCCCGGCCCCGGGCCCGACACCCAGCCCGCCGCGGGGGCCGCGAGCGCGGGGAGGGGAGCGGACGCGGGGCCGACTTGCCCCTCCGCCCACGGCCGCGTCACGCGGGCGCCCTGAGCCCGGCTGACCTGAGACGGCGCCGAGGTCCTCCTTCACGCAGAGCGCTCCAAGGCTGCGGCGGCAGCGTGCAGGGTGCGCTTAAGCCCTTAAGTCTAAGGCGATAAGTGCTTCCATGCGCGGCCTCGTTCACTGTAGAACAGGGATTAAGCTTAACTCCTGTGGGGGCGGAGGAAAAGAGCGACCCTCACCCCGCAGTGGCCAGCACCAGGGAGGCGTCTAGGTGGCGGGCTGTGGCCCAGCGGCAGCAGGCGCCTATGGCTGCTTTCACAATGCACTGGCCGAGCTCAGGAGCTGCAACAGGGACCGTATGACCCGCGAAGCTAGGAATGTTCACTGTCTAGTCCTTTACAGAAAAAGTTGTCAACTCCTGCTCTTGATGAACAAACCTCTTCAGATCTCTGCCCAAATGTCATCCTATTGAGGCTCTCCCTCACCATTCTCTATAAAGTTGCACCCCATTCCCTTTACCGGCTCTTCTGCTTTCATGCTTCTCTGCAATTTACTCATTCATTCGTGATCAGCCTCCCCAGCTAGAATTAACAATCCAGAAGAGCAGGGCCTTCTCTCTCGTGTGCACTGATGGATTATACACAGTGCCAAGAAGAGCAAACACTCTTTAAGTCTTGGTGGAATAGGTTGATTGAGTCTCCGCAATTGCCAGGCATGGAGGTAGGTGTGGACATAAAAGATTGCCCTAGCAGAATGGCGACAACTCTTCCCGGAGGGACTTACCAGGTCCACCTCCCTCCTTCCTCCTCCCTCCTGTACCTTCTGTATCCTGCAGGTCAGCCAGGTGTGGCCTGCTCTGAACCTTCCCAGGAAGGATTTTGTTCTGTACATAGGGTGGCCATATAACTTAATGCCCAAATGGGACATTAGGTCATGAAATGGGGATGCTACCAATCATGAAGCTGGCACCAGCATAAACTGGGACTGTCGTGGCAAGTCAGGGCGCTTGGTGGACCTATCTAACAGCTGTGATCCATTCATTTAACAAATGTTTGAAGAGCACTTCCTGAGTGCCCAAGGCACTGCACCTTTTTTTTTTTTTCACGTGAACCAACGTTTAGGCTCCTGGGTTTTATTTGAGTTCTGAGTACAAACCTGGAGTCCCAGAAAAGCGAAGGGGGAGGGGGGGGGCTGTCTTCAGAGTCAGCAGCACCAAGTACAAGGCACAGTGTGTAGTCCACTCAGTCAACACGGGGATTGAAGAGTGACCGAGCACTCTGCTCCAAGGTCACTGAGGCTATTGAGGCAGAGGACTGACCTATAGCACCCTCCACCGGCTGAGTGGTCCTCTGTGACTGCAGGCAGCACTGCGTCCCTTGGAGAGGTTTCACTCCATGTGCAGCTTCCCAGCCCTGTGACATTGGGCATTTCTTCGTTTCTCAGATGTGAATTAAGATTCCAAGCCCACCTAAGGGGACATGGGGTCGACAGTGTCACACGTAGAAGCAGCTGAGTCCCCTGGCCCTGGTGACCACTTGGTCACCGGGGCAGCGCAGCAGGGTCCTGAGGGCTGGGCCTGAAGCAAGAGTGACTGTATCTGTATGTGGTGTCCTCCCCATAGTGGTTTGGGGTGGACACCTGCCAGTCTCCTGCTGAAGATGCCATGGCTGAGTCCAGTGGTTACCTTCTTCTGGAACAAGAGAACAGCCAAAATAATTGAAGCAGACAAAGCACACGCAAGGACCAAGCATAGACAAACCCGGAGAATAAGCCAGGAGAGCTGCTTTTATAGAGAAAAAGGGGGAGGGCGGGGCTGTCCTTAAAGAAAGTCCATTGGGGAAGAGTAACAGTTCAGGGGGCAACAGCTTCTCATTGGCTGAGCTGTGGCGTTTCTCATTGGCTGAGCTGGGCATTTCTCATTGGCTGGGCTGTGACGTTTCTCGTTGGCTGGGCTGTGGCGTTTCTCATTGGCTGGGCTGTGGCGTTTCTCATTGGCTGAGCTGTGGCGTTTCTCATTGGCTGAGCTGTTACCGGGCTGGGAGAGAAATCTCCCTTTGGTACCAGAGTGGTGTTACTTGGGGTGGAAGATACAAGCGTTTGTCTTTTCGTGTTTGGAGTAACTGATGTGTGATGGGGCTGAGAGCTCCCCCTGCAGGCCTTCCCCATCCAGTTTAGTTAAGGTTTCTTTTGTTAATTTCCACCGGCATTTGCAGGACAGACGGAAAACAGGCGTG